CGGGGCCGGAGGGGGAAGCTGTGCCCCGGGCTTGGCAGCCCCGACAGCCAGGCTGAGCGCAGCATGGCCCCACACCCTCCGGGTGCCCCAGGCAGGGACATGGAGGTTGCTAGAAAAGGCATTTTCCCCCTTGTTTTGCCCCCAGCACGAGGGCAATGTTGCCTGCAAGAGCAGGCAGCCCGGTCTCCCTGATGGGGCAGGATTGGGCCCCGCACCGTGATTTTCCAGCACACAATGCAAATTTTTTCCTTCCTGAATTCCAGTCCGTAATGCCTCGCTCCAGTCCCCAGCACAGCAGGGACAAGGTCTGCCCCGCTCTCCTTGCTAGGATGCTCCAGGAACCAAACCCGCAGAAAACTTTTCCTTCTGTGGTGGTTTTCTGCCAGCCCAGCTGCCTGAACCGGGTCACCGCAGTGTCACATCAGTGCTGGCACTCCCGTTCCTCACCTTCCTTGCTGTCCAGCATGGGATCCTTCAGGGAGCTGGCAGCGCCAGCCTGGCCTTGCGCTGGGCTCTGGGCTGGGCTGATGCCGCTGCCCCCGTCCACTTGGTCTTTGCCTCTCATTTCTTCTTGCCAAAGCGTGGACTTGGTGGCGGGGACCTTCTCCGCACTGGGGATGTTGCTGCTGGTCACAGCCATCTTAGCAGGACCAGGCTCCTAAAGAGAAGAGAGGAGACAGCAGGGTTAGAGGGGTTTGCCCCAGCTCCACACCCAGGGTCCCCATGGGGCCGTCCGCAGAGGTGTGGGACCCACAGAGCTTGGGTGCTGCCCACGACACATGCCACGACAGGATGGGGACAGGGACAGGGCCATGTGCCACCACTGCACTCCCAAGGGGACAAGCTTGCAGGTGGAAACCCTGCCCCAGGGCAGTGTGGTGGGGAGACGGGTCAGGAATTCCTCGGCCAAAGGGACCATCGCCGCTCTCACAGCGAGAGAGGAAACGTCCCTTGCCATCCCTCCCCAGGGAAGGCTCCCGAAACCAGCTGCACCCCCACACACATCCAGCTGGGAAAAGATCCAGAGCAAAGGCGAGTCGACAAATGAAGGAGACCTTCGGCCAGTGCTGTGGCAGCGGAGGGGCTCACTAGCTTTCTTTCGGATAGGAACTGCCCCTCCCAGCGTCCCTCCCAGGATGCTGCGGCCATCAACACGTAACTCCTTGGGAAAAGCTCATCTTGTGCTCAAGCAGCCCGGCTCCAAGCAGAGCAAAGCCCCGGCTCCTCCCCAGCAAACACGGTCCCATGCAGCTCTGCTTACGCTCCAGCACAGCAGCTCTTCCCAAAAGCGGACCAGTGCCCGCATGGGGCTCTGCATCCCAAATCACGTACAACACTGCAGACCCACAGAGAAACGGGTCTGTCGGGTCCTGATTCACGGAGAACCTGGAAATGCTCCCCTCACCTCTGCCAAAACCCAGGGTGACACTGCACCCTCTGTAACTGATGCACATAAACACAACATCCTCCATTTCCCTCTGCATGTCCCCAGTCCTCCTGCATATCCTCAGTCCTCCTGCACATCCCCGGTCCTCCTGCAATCCCTGGTCCTTCTGCGCATCCCCGGTCCCTCTGCGGGCCATCTCATGGGCAGCCACTGCCTTTCACAAATGCAGACCAACACCAGGCTTCTCTCCTGGGTCCCATTTGCCAGGACTGAATTTTCTCAGTGTTATAACTAACGCCAAAAAACCAAAAGAAAACAAGCTAAAGGACACAGGATGGAGGAGAAAATTAATTCTCTGCCACCAGCAGTTGCATTGTTTGTTTGTCACAGTTGGTTTGCTACGGGCCACTGATAAAAAGTATAAAACCCAACTGGTGCTGTACTCCTCCCGGGTGCTTCGGCTACCTAACAGGCCACTTGTTTTAAAAAGGAAATACAACATTGCATTGACCTTTATGCTATTTTAAAGCAACATCCATCATCTTAAATGTTTCTCTAGCCAACAAGGGGCTCTAGAGTCCATTACACGACGATGCCATTTTGGTGGTCACAGCCCGGGCAGCTCAGGTTCGGTGCACGCCCCAGAAGAGGCAGCAGCTTTCACAACTCGTTTAGGGTTTGGCTTTCTTCGTTAGCAGATGTTTTGCTGTTGTTGTATTAAGCTTCTGCATTAGCAGATTATTTGCCTTAAAGCCACCAATAAATCAATGACAATTAACCCCCCTCCAAAGTCTCCGGATTGTGGGAAGTTTCCCAGCTGCTTGTTCCCTTTCCACAGAGCAAGGGGAAACCAGGAGCACCCGAGCCGGCACCCACGGGCTGGGGACATGGGCTGGGGACACGGGCTGCAAAGAGCATCCCCGCCATCCCCCCTCCCATGTCAGCAGAGCCACCGGTGGGTTTCAGCCCTGCACCTCCAAATCGGGGTTTGCAGGGCTACTCCAGAGCCGAGGAGGATCTCCTAGGGAGTGGGTCCTAGCTCTGCACAGCCACAACAAGCAGCAAATGACCTCAATTTTTTAAAAAAAATCCCCTTGGAAATTTCATTCTAAAGGAATGCAGCGTTGGAGGTAAACGATCCAGAGTTCAGCAGCATCCTGCTTGAGGGAACCGTGCTGGAGCAGGGGGTCGGACGAATCTCCAAAGTCCCCTTCCACCCTCATTCACTGATCTGAAAGCCCAAAGCTAATCGCCAGCTCAGGATATATATTTTTATATATCCCTTACGCACACCCCCGTATAATTATTTGTAGATATGTATTTAATTAGACAGAGATATGAGGGCCAAAAAGCGGTCTATAAGCAAGCAGAGAAATTAACTCTTTGCCGCTCAGTGCTATGAACAGATCCAAAAAGGAGCGTGCACCAAAATCAGCAAAAACCAGCCTCCAGTTGCATTAAGTGTGCCTGGGCATGCTCTGCTTACCCGAGCCTGCCACACCTCTGTGCAAATAGAGGGCAGTGCCTCAAATCCCAGATTTCAGCCCCAAATCCTGCCTTGATTTCCCAGGGACAGCAGGCAGGCAAAGGCAGCCCAGTCTCTCCTGCTGCCTGCATTGCTCTGCCAGGGCACGGCAAAAGCCGAAAGAGAAACCTGCTCTTTTTCCCCTAAGACTGCAGCCTGCTTGCAAAGCAAAGGTGAAAACACCTCTAGGATTGCACCTTGTCCAAAAAGCAGTATTTCCAGCTTCACCTGCGTTGCTCCCACCCCAGTGTTTTTGCAGGGGGAAGATGCAAAATTATGGGGAGAGTTGAAAACGGCCCTGATGCCCCAGGAGTGCCCGGCTGCAGCCAAGCTCTGCTGTAGCACAGAGGAAAAACTACGTGGGAGTGAGAAAAAGCAGAAATATCCATTGTTTTCAATTTTTTTTTTTTTTTAAAATCACAAAGGTGTACGGCCCTCCCTGAGCGTCTCTCAGACATGATCTGCTGCCAGATTAGCGGGCAGCCGTCTTTAGAAAGAAATCAGGCTTTCTCCGCTGGCACACAGTGAGCGAGCTGAACAGTAGCCAACTTCAGGAGAAGCCATTTCACAGAGGGGGATTTGGTGCTGATTTTCTCCCCAGCATCCTCTCTGCTTCCCTGGACCGGCCGCCCGCACCGGCACAATTTGGAAGATGACGGAAAGATGCTTCTTACATTTTCTTTCTGCCTTTGCAAGTTGCTTGCGAGTGACATCGCAGCATCCATCTGGCGGTGAGTCCCATGCAGAGATTGGTTTTGCAAAAGTGAATCTGAGGTTTTTTCCGGCACCATGGGGCTGGGAACGATGGGATGGAGAGGGTGGAAGGAGGGTAGCAAGCGGGACGGAGCTTGGGGCGGGAGTGCCACCAGGCTCCATGCTCACCCCATCCCCAAGCACCTGGGGAGCCTGCCTGCCCGCAGGGAGCCAGCATCCTTCCCACAGCCGCTTCCCTTATTTGGTGCTCAGGAGCTCGGATCCTGTACGGTTTCCAAGAAGTTGCCATGGTAATGAAATGTAACCCAGAATGATGTTTTTCTGGCTCTGCACCCCTTCTCCTCTCCGCCCCGTCCTCCTCCTGAACCCAGCCTGGGTTTCGTGTTGCGCCAGGGATGGGGTGAGCATCCTGCCCTGCTGCAGCAGCTCGCTGGGGTGCCCCGAATACAGCAGCCCCCTCCCTGGGGCTTGAGGACAGGCAACTCGTAACATGTCAGCTCTTGGCCATGGAGGGAGGAGGCATCTTCCCTGGAGCATCACTGGAGCCAGCACTCAAGGGGCTGTGACGACCCCAGCCCTTGGCAGGGAGTGGCTCAGACTTCCCGCTCGGTGTGCAAAAAAGGATCATCTTCCCCCTTATTTTTTTACCCATTGCCCAGAACCTCATTTATCCAGTGGAGTGGTGGAAACCTGATTCAAACAAACGCCGTACAAAACCCACCACGGCCCAGTTTGCACCAGGGTCATCCTAGGGACCTCATCAAAGGGGACTTGAAAACCAGGGCTCAGGGGAGCCCCGATGCTGTCTTCAGTCCCCCAGTGCCGCAGCCTGGCCCAAGGAGCCTGCCCAGCCAGACCCCCACAGCGGTGGGACGCAGGCCCGAGGTCAGGCAGCCTCAGGGACACGGCTGTTCTCAGTCCTGGCGAGGGACGAGGGTGGCCTTGGGGTCACGTTCCCCATCTGTGGGATTCTCCCCCACTCCAGCCATGTGGGAACCCGGCAGAAACGAGTGAGTCACGGCCAGCCCCGGTTTTTACCATTTATAGTCAAAGTGAGCACGAAGCCACTGCCGGGTCCCTGGAGAGCCCAGCTCCGTCCCCCAGAGCTCCCAGCCTGGCCCTGGCCTTTAGTATTTTCCTTTCATTCCCATTATCTCTGGGGTCATCTCAAAGGGGGTAACCGGAGCCCAATGGAATTTCATCCCGTTTCTGCCAAAACGGCCCGCGAACGGCCAGCACCTCTCCCCACTCCCCCACGGGGACCACGCGGCTTTGCGGCCACCCCCCGGGGCAGCGTCTGCAGGGTTGGTCCTGCAAGACAGCGGTTGGGGGGTAAAAGGTGGCCCAAAAGCAGCCAGAAAAGCAGCAGCAGCAATGCGTGACCCTGGGAAGTGATGACCAGGAATGAATTCACGCCTCCTGCTGCCCTGGCTCACCCCGGCTCTCACCCTCCGCGTAGGCAGCATCAGAGGGCTGGCAGCCCACTGGTCCAGCTGGTTTGGGGGGGATCTTCCCCAGGAGCAGAGCAATGCCATAGCTCTGAGAGGGAAGCAAGGGTGACAGTGTGTGTCCCTTTGGGGTTACCTGGGGAGTTGGGGGCTCTACCTTCCTCTTCTTCTTCTGATTCTGCTTGTTTGTCCTCGGATAGACTATCAGCATCTCCAGCCACCTGCAGGCAAAGAAAGCAAAAGGTGAGGTCTGTGCCAAAGGGCAGCACTCAGGGACGGCAGTGATGATTGCACTCCACCATGGGGTGTAACGCAGCTGCCCACAGGCTGCAGACCCCAAAGTTGTTTCCCCACCATGGGTGGCTCTGACCACACTGCCCGGGGAGACGCTGCCCCATCCCACCTTCGAGTCAGGCTGCCTGCAAGCTCCAGAGATGGAGCATCTGCATTTCATCCCTAACCCCAGCCTTCTGGGGTTTGTAACTTGACCATAAGCACAACCTCGAGCTGGAGCTGGGCACATGGAGGAGTTCAGCTTCTCCAACCTGGTCAGGGTCAATGAGGCAAATAGCGTCAAGAAATCATCCCAACCAGCTTCTGGGGGAAAAATGAGGTAGGACAGGAGGGGAGGAGGGATGACCCCAGGCTGCTTTGGCTCAAACCCCACTCGCTGCAAGAGTGAGGCCACGGCCAAGGCTGACACGGGACAGGGATTCAAGGACCCCGAAAGACAGCTGAGAGGGACAGAGCCTGCAGCAGGACCTTCCCCCTTCAGCGATGCCAATGCTCACAAGCTGCACACAAAGTGCTTTTGTCCAAGAAAGAGCAGCGTGAACTTGGCATTGAGAAGTCCATCCCCTGCACAAGTCACTTGTCTGGGGGACCCTCCTGTGCCCTCCCACCGTGGCCTGACAACCTCTCCCTGCATCTCTGCGAACTCCACAGGGATCCATGGACCACTGGGAAACATTCCACCTGTTCCCCTCTCCTGTTCCCCCCACTCTGCACGCTGCTGCTGTAAAGCGTTTTGAGATGACCACATCAAGTGGGTTTTGGTTAAGCAATAAATGCCAGAAGCATCCAACAAACATAAAACAAATTCTCCCCCGACCGGGAAAATCTTTCTGTCGTGCTGCAACTGCAAATGAAACCCGCCTGGCTCGGACCCAGAGCGGGACTGTTTCGGGATGATTAATGCTTGCAGTCAGGAGCAAACGTGCTGCTTCAAAATCTAGCACCGGGCCAATGAACAATAAATCAGCCCCACCTTGCTCTGCAATGCCTCACCCTCCTGCGTGGCGGGCAGGACTGGCAACAAAAGGCTGAGCTGTGAACCGGAGTGTGGGGAGAGGAAGAAGAGAGCAGGGCATGTGGGTTGGTCGGGTTTTGGAGCACAGCCATCGCTCCTGCCTTGGCTGGAGGAGAGGAGCCGGCTTCCCCATGCCACGATTCCCCCGTGCCTCTGCATCGCAGCTCCGCAGCCGCTGCAACCCCATCGCTGCAAATGGGGCTGGGGGTGGCCGTGCCGTCGGAGGAGAGGTCTGCCGGCTCGAGGTGATGTGCGGAGGGGGAATCACCCTTGCTCACATGTCTCAGTAGAGCAGGGAAGTTTCAAAGCATGAAAACATGTATCTGGTCAAAATCCCAAGCTCGAGGATGTTTCTAGGTCACCATCCAACACCTGGAGTCGAGAAATCTACTGTGATTTACTCATTTTAGTGGCCTAATATTCCGTGTTGCTGAGCAACTGCATCCCAGCATCAGGCACTCCTATGTCAATGGTATTTTAATCATCCTCAGAGGTCAGATGCTCCACTGGGACCAGGGGTGTGGGCTGCACCCACCCCCTCTGCCAACCTGCCCGCAGGGAGCGAGCAGGGCAAGGCAGGTGCTGGCAAGGTCAGTCCGAATGAGGATGGGGTAAATGCAGGGTGAGCAGCTCCAGGAGGCCACATCTGCCCAGGGATGGACGAGGACCAGAGGATGCATGGCCCTCGGGGTCAGACACCCCAGCCCTGGGACTACGGGACCTGCCGCTGGTGTGCGGACAGGACCTGAGCCAGCAGGCTGGGTGCCTGATCGGATGCTGTCCTAAAAGCACCGCGGGGTCACCCCAGCCCCCATCAGCTCCAAGCCCATCCTGGTGTTCACCCTGCAGCCAAGCTTCTTCCCCTGGCCAGTAAATAGCCGCCTTCTGCTGGGGCTGAAGCTGCCACAGCCAGCCCAGGAGCACCTCGGCATCAGACGCACCCTTTGGGCATCCCACACACACTCCAGTGTAGCTCAGCTCGCTCCTGGGGGTAAATGCCGCTGGGAATGTTGTTCTCCAGCAAGGAGCAGGATATTCCCCACCAGGCAGGGGAGCGGGGAAGGGGAAAGAAAACCTGTCCTTGCCAAAAAGCTGGAGAAGACTGGAACTGACCGCAAGGCAGCAGCTACACCCGGTCCCCAAGACTGTCCCTGCAGCAGGTTGTGATCATCACTCGGGGATCAGTCTGGGTATGCACTGCCACAGCACCCAGCCTTTGGCAAAGTCCTACCTGCCCTCCTCTTCCTCCCAGCTAAGGGAAGAGCCCTGTGGCGGGTCAGCCCCAGACCTGCACTCACCCGCTGATGATCTCCTTGTTCTCAGCCCGGATGAAGTGCTCCTTCTCCGGCGTCAGGATGCACAAGGAGAATTTCTGCCCTGTCCGGCTCTCCCCATCCACCACATCCGTGCACTGGTTCATGTTGATGGTGCCCTGCGGGAGGGTTGTCGGCTGCGAAGGGAAGGAGAAAGGAGTAACGTTGAAGGAGAGAAGAGCAGATGAGCGCAGAGTTGAGCCCTAAAATGTCTCCTGGTGGAAACCAGTATCCTACACACCAAGATGCTCTGCCCACGAATACCCAGACCCATCATGTGCTGTGCCAGCACACAGCAAAGCCCTGTGCTGCACATCTGGGGATACAGACCAGCAGGCATGACTCCTGCCAGCCCAGTCCAGACCAGCTCAGTCCAGTCCGCTGCTGCCAGTAAGATGCTACTCCGACGCCGAACGCCCAGGGAAGGATGGCTGCCCGGTTGCAGCACAGGGACACCAAGGCAAGGCACCGAGTGGCCAGCTTTGGGTTTGTACCTGTAAACCACCTGGGGTGGTGGGGTGGCACCTGGGGACATGGGGTGGCAAAGCAGCAAGGGCCCACTGCCCTCAGCGCAGGACGGCTCAGGCACTACAGACAGACAAACATCTGCCAGGTTTTTCCCATTAAAGTTAACAAAACATGGAGTTTGCCAAGCAGGGACTGCAGCATGGAAGGGACCTTGTTTGTCTAACGGGCTTTGCAAACCCAGTGGCACCTCCCTTGCTCCAAGCAGACACAGCGGAGTGGGACAGGCAGTGGCCCCCCTGGCCGAGGGGACACGGAGGGACCCAGACGGGTGTCAGCACTGACGAGAGCTGACAGGTCCATCTGGAGTGGCGTCGGCTCATCCGATTACAGCGCAGCCGCCCGCTCCCGGTGCATGGCACCCGCAGCCCGCCCTCCCCGAGGAGCGATGCCATTTCTCCCCCATCCCAAGCCTGCCTGTGCCCCACCAGGCTCAGTGACACGGGGGTCTCCCCCGCATCCCGGCGTGAACCTGCACCTCGGGCATAAATGACGGGGCTAGGGACATCTCCGAGCTGCCAGTGGCACCGAAGGAGCACCCAAAGCAGCTTGCAGCCACCTCCTCGCCTCGCCAAAGCCTCCTTACACCCTCCAGATGGCCAGGCCAAGAGGGAAACGGATTTTTGGCAGATGTTGTTAAGGTTTTTACCATGGAAACCGGCTCCCCTGCTAATAAAACCCCTCCAAAAGCAGCCTGTGCCATACAAATAAGGGGCAATTGGGGAGAGCTCGCTGGCCCCAGCCCATGATCCCAGGAAATTCTCCTCAGCCCCCCCGAGGCCCCCAGTTTACCCATCTGCGGGCCGTGAGAAATAGCCCCCTTCTCCAGGAAAAGGGCTTTCCCTGGAGCTGTGTCCCCAGGCAGGAGCATCCTACCACAGCCCAGCGGTGGCATGGAGCCATCGTGGGTGCTGCAGCATCGGTGCCCAGCATGGGCACACAAAGGGGACTGCTCGTACATCAGGGACACCAAAACCTTCTCTTTTCCTTCATGGAAACCAGCATCGGTATCCACAGACCTCACGGGATGGAGGGAGGGATGGAAAGCAATGCCGAGCCCAGACCCCTGGCACGGTGCATGCACAGCCGCCCGCCCTGCACCGCCGCGGGGAGTCGGCTCCTAAGAGGATTTTTTGTCTTAGACAACAAAAATAAAACGCCGCTTTCCGGCAGCTATAAAAACCCAATGGAAAAAACTTTCTCCTGCTCCAAGTGGAGTCTTAGAAACTTCTTTGTCTCGCTGACCTTCAGCAGAGCCAAGGCCTCCAGGACTGAAAGGTCTGGGTCCAACCTTCTTCCCCACCCAGAGCATTTTTGCACCAGGGAACGCAACCAGGATGGGAGAAAAAAGGGGATGAAGGTGGCTCCAGGAGGGAGCCCCAGTCCCTCACAGGGACTCTGGGCCACTCAGTCCCTCCTGTCCCTCAGCTCCCTGGGAGGCCCCGCAGGGATCTGGCAGGGAGCTGGCACAGGAGGAGAGGAGGAGACGGCTCCCTGCGAAACCCGCCTGCTCTCCTCCTTCTCTAACCCCACGGCAGTGTTCAGGGCGGCTTCCCCCGCTGCTCACACCCAGCCCAGACCCAAGCGTCCCCAGAGTGGAGGAGCCGGTTTGGGGCCCCCCACAACACCAGGCTGGCCTTGTGAAGTGGTTTTGCCACGCACCCCTCCTCGCGAGGGTGAACGCTGGCATCTCGCACGGCCTGACACATGGGTCCCCGTCCAGCACCGCACGCCTCCAAGCCGGGATGCTAGGAGCGGGGCTGCGAGCAAAGCTGGGACTGTCCCCCTTGCACCTGCAGCCAGGGACAGGATGGGCACCAGAGACAAACCCTCCACCCCATGGCAGCCGCCTTGCACCCCTCCAAACCTCTCGGCAGCAGATGAAACCAGCAGCCTCGCTCGCTCGGGATGTAAATTCCTTTACACCATCTATTTCCTTCCTTGGAGGCAGCGCAGGCACTTTGAAGCAAAGCAAAATGCAAATGCTGCCAGGTATAAACGCGCGCACACACACACTAACTCCACCGAGGAAAAGGACGGGGCTCGGGCGGCATTGCACCCCGGGAGCGCCTCGAAACCGGCCAGGCATCCCCGGTGAAGGAGCTGGCGATGGCACACAGCTGCTCTCCCCGAGGAACCAGAACAGGGACAGCCCCGGTGTGCCAAAGCCGTGGGGCGGTGGTGTGGGAGCAGGGGAGATGGGAGAGGCTCTGGAGCAGGGGATGAGGCCACACGGACCCCTTCCCCACCTCCAAGCACCTGTTTCTGTGCTGGGGGGGTCTCTCAGGGCTGGGGATCCCGGGCAGGGACGAGCAGAGCTGGTCCCTGGGCTGGTCCCAGGCCAAGGGAGGACTGCGTGGCTCTGACAACTGGAAACGAATAAATAAATGCAAAAGCAAGGAGGTGTTATATGGCTGAGACGTCAAAACAATAACAAGGCTGGGACTTCAACCAGGCCTTTGAAGAGTAGATGCTTTGATACAAGGTCAAACCCAGCGTCGGACCCTAGGGCCACGGGGAGGTTTCGTGTCCAGGTGAGGCAGGAGCAGATGCTCAGGCTCAGCTCTGGCTCCAGCTGCTGGCTTCTGCCGGTCCCCTCCTCGGGGACAGCCCTGTCCCCAGGTGCTGGCCCTGCCTTTGCCATTTCCCACGCTGCTGTCAGTGGGATGGAGCACACAGCTACTCCACACCTGGACTTGGTGCCTGGGTGTCTCTTTTAACTGGGGAGAAAGAGTGGAAGCACAGCAGGGTACACCAGCAGAAGACACCACTACCGGCACCATGACGAGTAGCAGGTCTCCTTGGTGTCACCAGCTGCCTCCGGCCCGGTGAGTGGAGCAGCCCTTCACCGTGTGCCGGCCTGGGGAAGGCAGCACCCACCCCACATGAGCAGCTACAGCTCTCCACACTGCCAGTATCAGCACAGGAACCGGAGCCAAGAAACAATCGCGTTGCTGTTTCCCTCTGGTACGACAGATCCCTATTTACACACACACGCGCTCGCAGCATCCCCCTCCATATTACACAAAGCCTATAGTACACTCTCCTCCTCCTCCTCCTCCTCTCCCTTCCTGGGTGCCCAGGACACGAGTCATGCCGTGCTCTCCACATCCACAACCCCAACAGCCTCCGGATGAGAGGCAGAGACCTTCAGACGGACGCTCTTAGGATGCAGAGCCCAGCAATTGCAGCATCCCCCATCTTGGAGAGTGGAAAGGAAGGAAAGAAAGAATGGGGATCTCTTACAAGCCTGAAGGAAGAAATCCCAAGCAGGGCATTACTGGGGAGAGCCAGGTGCTGTGGCAGGAGGATGCACAGTGCTGGATGCTCCACGGGCGATGAACTGCCAGGCGCAGGGGCTGATGCTGTAAGTCAACAGGCTTTATCTGTAAGAGTCCCTCATTTCCATATGGTTTTGCAGGGCTGAGGTAGAAATATAGGATTATTTAGATTCAAAAATTTCTGAATTTTCTCCAAGTGCCTTCCCCATCATTTCTAATACACATGTATTGTAGGAGCTCAATCCGAAATACAACGGAGCTTCGCTCAGCGACTGTACACAAGATGTTTTCTGAGCAGGTAACCCCACAGTCAAGCTCCTGAGGAGCGGCTCTGCCACGGCCTCGGTGGGACACGGCCAATGCCCACACCGTTCTCCCGGGCTATTACACAACGTGGGTTGACGAAATCTGGAACACAACCTTTAAAGAAAGGCGATGGGGCAGGGGGAGGAGGAAATCAAACAAAAGGGACATTTTACTTTGTGCCAAGAACCAGGAGGGGAAGAAAAAAAAAAACCAAAACAAAACAAAAAATCCACAACCGTTTGTCTATCTCACATGGCGGGCTGGTTGCCTTGGCACTGGGGCCCGGCCATCCCGGGGGGGAGATCGCAGCTCTGCCATCCCGCCTTGCCATGATGCCGCACGGGAAGGGCTCGGGCTCCGGCTGGCTCTGCCCTGGCTCCCAGGGCTGCCCCAGAGCAGTAGTAAGCCTGCAGCGCCTGGGGAAGAGACATCCACGCTGCCTCCATAAATGCTTCTTGACAAATGTTAATTCTCCAAGCTAAAATATTCATGAGAGTGGCTGCCGACAAGTACGCTGCTCATTTGCAGCACTCTTGAGTACTCTGCAAAGGAAGCTGCCGTGTTTGCTAAAAGCATCACCCATCCCCAGTGCCTGGGTTTGGTCGATTGCGGTGCTCGAGGCGGGATGCAAGCGGGATCTTGGCTGGGCTGTGGCTTGGGAGGGAGCAAGACTCCGCTGCCCCATCACCACGGGCGCATCAGAGCAACGTGGAGCCAACCATGCCTTGGGAAAGGGCAGCAATGCAGCCTGGACAAGCAGCTCCTGGCACCAGCCGTGGCATAGGGAGCCCATACCAGTGCCGCCTCCACCATTCCCATCCAGAGGCCATCTGCAAGAAAGCACCAACTCCTTGAAAAGCCCCAGGGAGGTCCCTTCTCAGTCATGCGAGGCTATGCATGGCTTCCCTAAAGCCCAGCCAGGGATGCACCGTGCACGCACCAGGGCTGGCTCCATCGGTGGGCTCAGCCGGGCGCTGCTGCTGGGGTGCTCAGCCTGCCGGTCCTGGTGGGGTGGCCACAGTGTG